GGGGACTCTGCATGTATGTTGCCTGCTGTTTTGCTGCATGTGTGATACCAAGTATATACTAGGTTGGGGGCTCTGCGATGCCAAGTATATACTAGGTGGGGGGGGGTTATGGGTGTTGAGAAGAAGAAGAAGAAGAAGAAGAAGAAGAAGAAGAAGGGCGGAAGAGGAGGAGGAGAGAGGAGGAAGGAGAATAAGATGAGGGGGAGGCGGAGGAGGAGAGAAGAAGAAGAAGAAGAAGAAGAAGAAGGCAAGGCGGTAGGGTATGGTGGCGACAAGGCGGTAGGGTCCTTTTTTTCTTACCTGTCGTTTATCTCGCGACCTATCGCTGACAAATGGAACAAAAAAAAAAAGAAGATAGTCGGAATAGGAGGAGGAGGAGAGAAGAAGAAGAGGAAGAAGAAGAAGAAGAAGAAGAAGATGGGCGGAAGAAGAAGAAGAAGAAGAAGAAGAAGAAGAAGAAGAAGAAGATGGGCGGAAGAGGAGGAGGAGGAGAGAAGAGGAAGGAGAAGAAGATGAGGGAGAGGCGGAGGAGAAAAGAAGAAGAAGAAGAAGATGGGCGGAAGAGGAGGAGGAGGAGAGAAGAGGAAGGAGAAGAAGATGAGGGGGAGGCGGGGGAGGAGAGAAGAAGAAGACGAAGAAGAAGAAGAAGATGACAAGCGGAGCAGTTTTTTTTTTCCTTACCTGTCGTTTATCTCGCGACCTATCGCTGACGAATGGAACAAAAAAAAGAAGAAAAAAAAGTCGGCCGTGGAGCAGTTTTCTTTTTTTTTTCTTACCTGTCGTTTATCTCGCGACCTATCGCTGACGAATGGAACAAAAAAAAAAGAAAAAGAAGATAGTCGGAAGAGGAGGAAGAGGAGAGAAGAGGAGGACGGGCGGCTCCACGGCGACGGGCGACGGGCGGCTCCACGGCGCTGGCGACTCCAAGACGCTGGCAACGGGCGACGGGCGGGTCCACGGCGACGGGGGAGTGAAGCTCCCAGGCGATGGCGACGGGCGGCTCCACGACGACGGGCGGCTCAGCCACGAACTGCGCCGGCGGGGGAAGACCAAGGCCCCGTTTGGACAGCCGATGCAGGCCGCCGCAGCCAGTCGGCCGTTCAAACGGGTCGTCGTTTTCCCTCCAAACATCAAACGGCCCACTGGCCGTCGATCATGGATGATCAATGATCGACGGCCGGAGGGCCGTCACAATTTCAAAAAAAAAACGCTGGCCTCACGGGACCGACTCGCCTTTTTTCAGGCCTGGTCGGACCCGGTAGGCCCTGGGGACCCCAGCTGACGGCGATTCGGGGTCTGAACCCCCCCCCGACAAGGTGTGCTGGGGGTGCCCGGCCCCCAACCGGGCCGCCCGCCCGGCCAGGCCGCCCGGGACCTCCCCCGGGCAGGCGCTGGTCGACCGGGCGGGCGGCCCGGATCCGTACTCAGCTTTCAAGAGCATCTATATAACGGTAATAATTATCGATTATCCATATGCTTTACGTGCCTCAAAACGTACGACACATGCAAAACTGTGTAGTTACTTTGATTGAACCACTAGTGGACGGCCCAGCCATTGGGCAAAAAAACTGTGTCCAGTGAACACGGGGCCGAGGAAACAGGCATCAATGTGGATCCTCCACAAGTTTTGAGCTCCGAACACAGAGCCACGAAAAGATCAGCGCTCCGAACACAGAGCCGCGAAAAGATCCAAAGATCTGGGTTGTGGCTGAGCAAGGGTGGAGAGAGACGGACGGACGGACGGACGGACCGACCGACCAACCGACCAACCAACAGACAGACCGACCGACCGACCAACCAACAGACCGACCGACCGACCGACCGACCGACAGACAGACTAACAGACAGACAGACAGACAGACAGACAGACGGACAGACGGACAGACGGACAGGCGGGCAGGTGGACAGACGGATGCCCGGACAGGGGAACAGGCATCTATGTGGATCCTCCACCAGTTTTGAGCTCCAAACACACACAGCCATGAACAGATCACAAGGTCTGTGGTGTGGCTGCAGAGTTGCACTCATCATCCTTGCCCTTGTCCTCAGCATTCCTTGTCTTTTCCAACATCATAGAATGCTATCACCCATCTTTCATAGCATGCATACGCATACGGGACCTAATGCCACATGCCTTTCTCAATGGATGCCCCAGGCTGAGCCTCTACAGTTTTCAAGGCTTGCAACGAGAACAAGTGCACAGCTCACGAAATGCGTAAAACGGTGAGTGTATCTTCAGCAAGAAAGTGGAAACATGCACGCTCCTTTTCTTTTTTTCAAATTTGCTAAGTGCCAGGCCGAATACCAAGACCACGCAGGTCCTTCCACCCCTGCACATTCTGGTACGCTCGTCTAGACTGTGCGCATAGACAGAACCCTGCCGTATTCTGCTCGACTAAGAAGATATAAGGCAGCCCACCTAAAATCCGGATTACAAAAAAAAAAAGAAAAACCAGATCAATGAACAGCCGCTTCAACCAACAAAAGTGCAGGCGCACACAACTGACACAGAGAGTCAGTCTCGGGCATGCACTGCATCCACTCCACTGCAGTCAACCGGACAGGAAAGATTCCACCTACCTCAGCCATCATCTGGCGTTGTTTCCCGACATCCTCCGGGAAAGGGTATCTGTTCGCACCGAAGGCCTCACATATCTTCATAATCTTCATCCGTGCGCGCTCACCAGCAAAGAATACGACGAAAACCACCTTCTCCACCTGCAGACGCAGACAAAAGGGTGTGCACGCAAAAGAATAGAATCCATTTGTGTGAACACACCGTCACAACAGATCCACTTGTGTGAATGCACCCTCATTACCTCTCCAATCAATTGTAGGAAAAGCATCATCACCCCAATTCGTCTTCCGATAGGAGCAGTGTCAGAACAAGACGCCACCAGCGATCCTCCTCGTACAGATTAGAACATCTTCAGAAACCAATTCATTTTGTGAATAAATCTTGATCTGGGAACACTCTTGACAGGGAGAATAAAAGAGCCCAGGGGTAACGCAGGAGATACCTTGCTTTAAAAAAACACAACCAGACTTTCCCAGTGCACCTACTCCCCTTGCCCTCCAGCTTCCTCTATTTCAACAAGCAAACACAGAATGAAACCAGGGGGCCAGGCAGCAAAGCTGACGAGCGGAAAAGGGGATTTGAACCCTCAACCTTAGCTTTGGCAAGGCTATACTCTGGTACTTTGAAGAGAACCGACTCAACTGAGAGAAGCCATCCCAGACATATATGTTGGTTTCCTGCGGATTATGTCCATGCAGACCGTTTGATGATCAACACTGCACTTTGTCTTACAGGGAGTGTGGAATGCACCCTAGGTAAATTTGTCGCAACACATCACTTCGTCCCAGCACATCACTTTGTCGCAGTCCCTGCAGTTGCATCCCAAGAGTTCGTTGCAAGGGTACACTGCAAGAGTTTAAAGTCTAACCGCTAGCGCATGGCCCCAGCCTTGTGGAGGATTGTTTGTCATCTGCTCCGAAAAAGGCGGAGCCGACACAACGCCGAAAAAATATATCAGCAGTTGGCATCACGTTTCGGCCTCTGGACGGGGCCAACGGTTGATCTAGGGCATGTACTGGTGGTTCGAGTCCAGAGAAACAGATTGCTTTGCCCTACCGTCTTCCTTCCTCCGAACACAATGCACCATGATCATGAATGAATGTGTACAAGCTGATCTTTCTGGCCAACAAATATCCCACCCCACACCATACACGCATTTGACGGATGAAGAACAATCCAGAGGCCAGCAAAAACAACCCATACACCAGGGTTGCACCCCCAACGGTCGGCGGCCCTTGACTGGTCGGCTGCCAACCAACTGACCGATCGGCTGCTCGGCACCTGCCAGTCACATCGTCGGCACCCCGCAAAAAAAAAAAAAAAAAAGAAGGGTCCAGAACCCCTAATAACACCATCCCCAACCCCATAGTGGCCCCCANTCTCTCTCTCTCTCTCTCTCTCTCTCTCTCTCTCTCTCTCTCTCTCTCTCTCTCTCTCTCACACACACACACACACACACACACACAGAGCTTGGGGCCTCCCGCCCAGTCAGAAAGGCACAAAGGAAAGGACAGGCATTGAGCTCTCCTCTGATAGACCTATCCCTGTCTCTTATACACATCTAGATGTGTATAAGAGACAGCCCCTACACCCCCCTATACTCCAGCCTTAACCCCCCCATACCGCCATCCCCAAGAGTTTATCAGCGGATTTGGGGTGGACTCAGCAAAGCACAGTACAGCCCCCAACTCAGATTTGAAAACAAATCAGTGGACGTCTTTTTTTTTTTTTTTTTTTTTTTTTTTTAAATTGGTCGGCAGACCGCCCACCAGTCGGCCCAACTTGTCGGCTGCATACGGTCAGCGGTCAGCAGGGATGCAACCCTGCCGGACACACGGATACCACCCCACCGCACCCCACCCAAAGCGTAAATTGGCACACACCTTTTCTCCAGTGGCAGGGTCCACAACCGGTGCATCAATCGGAGCTTGCTTCAGAAACATGTTGCCACGTGTCGCTCGGAACAAGATCCGCTCAAAGGTCATTGCTTTTGCCTTAGCAACAAGTCCAGTCACAAACCCCAACCGGACAACCTTCGATGGATCGGTTTGCATTTCCTGCAACAACCATACGAAAATGCATTTCACAAATAAATACATATTCCAAAACAATAATAACACGGCTATCACTAGGTTCAACAGAAAAATGTCAGAAGGACAATATCATAAACAGTAAAGCAATAGGCAAGCAAAAGGGGAAAAAAAAAAAAAAAGGAGCAACAGCAAGCAATCTAATAGAATATACTGCAACCAGCCTGGCTTTGCAAACCCTCACGATGCAAACAGACCAGACAGACCAGAGAATGCTTCATAACAGGTGGGAGGCCATATATGTAAGGGTAGTTGTTTGCGCCCACCTCAGGATATCAGTTGACGCTTAACCACAACTGGGCTTAAGATGGATTATCACTTTCAGTACCATATCGGGTTCGGCCTCATGATGAGTCTGTGAAACTCCGACTAAACAGTCTGTCACAGCCCCTCGTTTGTTGTCCTTTTCTCCCTCTCTGCCGACGGTTTACCGGGCAGTTCGGTTCGGCGATATATATACCGCCAAACAGAGCTGCCCAGTAAACCATATGCAGAGAGAGAGAAGAGGACAACAAACGAGGAGCTGTGACAAACTGTTTCGTCAGAGTTTCACCAACTAATCAGGAGGCTGAACCCTCGACAGTCTGCAGAATCCCCTAACCGATTACACTGTAATTGATAATCCACCTTAACCCCGGTGGTGGTCAAACATCAACGACTGCCCCAAAACTGATACCCTGAGGTGGGCACCAACCACTTCCCTCAAGGCACCGTCAACACAGAGTTACATATAGATCCATTAAGCAATAAAATTCTAGTAAATTAGCTGGGGTACTATATTAGGGGCAGGTGTACTGGGCAGTTCTGTTTGACAATATACATATATGGGGAGAGAGAGAGAGAGAGTGCATTTTTTCATCCAGAATTTAGTCAGCTCTCAATATTGTTATATACCTCTCAATATTGTTATATATATCAGATACATATTAAACGATCAACACCAAAAGAATAAAAGTTGCCCCAACTCGAGCTTGCACTCGGCACAAAATAGCAACAGGCTGCGTTGCCCGGTATTTTCCGCTGATTTCTTTCTATCCATTCGCCAAAATGTGGATTTACAAACCAATCTATAAAGTGGACAAGATTTCGGCAAACACCAAATAACGTCATGTTCGAAACTTCCACAGACAAATGCAAACGAAAGCAAGGGTTACTTCGGGGCTTCGAGCAGGAAAACAGCATGAACGATACCGGTCTGAATTGCAGGAAAACAGCATGAACGAACCTGTTCCAAGAGAAGAGGACTGTCCATAGACTCCCCTATTGATGGAGACTCCTCCAAACCTCTCTGGTAATATGCAGCACTGCTCTGAGCATCTGTGAAGAAGTCTCCTGCCTGTTTCACCAACCAGCACCACAGTGTTTGTCAGATTTACTTCCCCTTCATCTACAAGCCCAAAGCACCAGCTCCTCCTCCCCCTGCTTTCCCACCTCCTCCTCCTCCTGCTGTTTCCCTCTCCCTCACATCATCATCATCAATCTAAACAGCTCATGCTCTCCACCAGTGCTCTGCCGCAATCCAGTTGCTCAGCCATAGTCACAGGCTGATGTGCTAGGCCCAAGTTACGATCACTCAGCACTCACTTACCACAATAAACCTGACCCGAGAAGGTATGAATCTGGTCCCCTGAGGATCCACATCCATGCAGAATTCGGCCTTTACCGGGGTCAGACACTCATCTGCCAGAGTCAGTGTCACCCTTGCACGACAGCCAGCCAGGGTTTTTTTTTTTCAAGTTCTTAGATGACAAAAGTAGTAAGTTCACGTCCTTAGGACACGAATCAGTGAGCATCCTAACCCCTCTTGCCAGAGAATACGGCCCAGTGGGGGGGGGAGAGGGGGTGGGGGGACAGCAAAATAACCCATGCAGAGGGGTTCCGAAGCCACCACCTGCCTGCCAATCCACATCACACAACAAAATATGTGCGACCATTCGAGTCAATGACACCCAAGGGACTAGTAAAGACTCGATAGAATATATACGAATTTGAAGAGCCGCAAGCATTAGGTGTTCTTTGCCACAAGTCTCATGTGTTGAAGGTACTTGGAGACAATACGTATGCTCAACCGTTCCACATTCCATCCCGATACTACGAACATACTAGCTGCATACAACATGCTGTAAGCATGCCAGAGGTGACGGAAGGGAGGGAAAGCAAACGGAACGAAAGAGAGGGAGAGGGAGAGGAGAAGAGTAGGATCACAAACCAATTAGGAGAACCCTGTCCATTTGGCTGAATGGCATCCACATGTAATCGTTAGCAAACAGAACACCAGTTCAAGTCACACAAACAGAACAAAGTCCACAACTACCACCTTCCAGAAAACAAAGCAAAAGAAGAAATAGACCACTGAGGAGACAGCACAAGCCAGCATACAAAGAGGGCCACGTGGCACATTCCACTGATGAAGTCCATCCTTTGCACAGCTCAGAGCGCCACGTGGCTGGCTCAATGATCATCAAACAGGATGCCCAGCAAACACCATGGAGACAGAAAGTCGTATCCCTCATACACTTGTCACACACAAGAGTGGAACAGCAAAGGACTCAGATTCTTTTTTTGTTTTGTTTCATGAAAGGTTGTGCAGGCTGAGGTATAGGCAGGCCCTAGCAAAGGACTTAGATTCTCCATTCTTAACTTTTCAAAACGCTTCGTTTCAAGCGAGTTCCCCCCCCCCCCCCCAATCCACACTCTCAAACACCAAATCGGGCTAAGGGTTGGTTGAAGTCGGTTCAGATTTTGAACACATCCAGAAGGCTTTCGTGATAAATGAGGCGGCATATCAAAGAATGTATAATATGACGCAGGCCGGCCAGGGGAGCTGCATCAGAGACTTTAGGCGAGAAATCTCTCAATCAAATAATCGGCTTCAAGACCACTGCTCACAACACAGCAGCCAGTCATGTGAAATGCATACATAAATAAAGATGAATGTGTGAACTGTGTTGCCAGGGAGCTTCTTCACTTGTCATGTGAAATAAATGAAGGTATAAATAACGAGGCTACCCGAGTGGGACCACTTCCCCGGCCCCGGCCACGCCCAAAAAAATAAAAGAAAATGAAAAAATAAAATATATTTTTTATTTTTAGTTTCGTAAAGAATTTCGATGTGACCCTGAGGCAAAAGTTCTTCGGTTGATTTTTTCTGCATAACTTTTTTTTCCAGATTTTTTTTTTTTTTTTTTTTTTTTTGCTGGGACCTTCTTTGGTCCGTGCACAGCCGGGCTGCATGGGCAAACAAATTGCCCCGGGCATATGCACATAAATCGATAAATAAATGAAAAATTCCTGGTTACGTACCATCCTCAGCACCAGCTGCAGCTCCACAAGCTCATTACGCGTGCGCATCAACTTTTCGTTGTTTTGATTCATTTCCAGCAGCTCCTTCTCCATGTCATCAAGTTTAGTCTGCTCACACAAGTGCAAGTTGTGGGCAATTAAAAACAAACAAAAAAACAGAAAGCAAACACAAACGCAAACCCATAACCAGCATTCTCACATCAGCTAGCACGAGAAAACGTACATGCATGCTAACAAACTGCGAACATAACCATGGTTATTGCCAGGTTCATGTTCCCAAGCACAAACATAGCACCAGCAGGACCTGGAACTACAGCAAAACCTGATCAAAGCAAGCACGACAATCATGAAAAATATATATATATACAATAGAAACAGATCCAATGTGCAATCGACTGAACAGAAATGCTGGGGGATGAGATGATTATTTAATTCTTTTTAACAAAGTAAGTTTAATCATTTACATGATTTTTACTTTTAAAAAAGTTTTAATTTTTGAAAATTAAAAAGGAAACAAAAAAAAAGCCAGTGTGTCAAGACTGAGACTGTGACAATGCATAGCTTTGTAATATAGACAGACCTCCAGGAACAAACACAAATTTGTCTCCAGTCACTTGTTGGCAATGAACCACCAGTAATTTTGCACAGACAGGATAGTCTGACGTGGCCATATAATCGGCCACGACCTTCGGGGATAGGTCCAAGGAACCAAAATGAATTACTTCACCAAGAGGGGAGGGGAGAAGGGGGACTGGGGGGGGGATGTGGGCGCACACAAATTTGTCTCCATTTACTCGTTCACATTGAACCACCAGTAATTTTGCACAGGCAGGATCTTCTGACGTGGCCATATACGCTGTCGCGGCCTTCAGGGATAGGTCAACCGTACCGAGATGGCTCATCGCACCGAGAGAGGAGGGGAAGGGGGGGGGGGGGAGGGGAGGACGGGGAAACGTGTCCATGACCATCTGTCTTTTATTGGCGCACTTAAATTTGTCTCCATTTGCTCATTCATATTGAACCACCAGTAATTTTGGACAGGCAGGATCTTCTGGCGCGGCCATATAAGCGGCCACAACCTTTGGGGATCAGCCAAAATGGCTCTCTGCAGAGGAGGGGCCAAGGGGAGGGGGGGGGGAACGTGCCCATGACCGTTCAATGACCATTCATTTTTCATTGGCGCTCGGCACAAATCCGCACTGGGAAACAGAGGCACAGAAGTACTGGTGGTTTAAACCACCACTACCTGCGAGAGTTGCCCTTGTATGGATGTATGGGTCTGCCTGCGCATGGTCAGGTTCATTCTTCCCAAGCCATGGCAGTACTATAGCAACAGCTGGGAAAGGTTCTGGTGGCTCAAAGAAAGAAGCAAAAGAGAGAGTTATTGCTGAGATTATTGTGTTTGCTACTTTGTCTATTTTACTACAGTGTAAGCTTTCTCCGTTCGTCCCTGGATTACCAGACTGCTTAATCTGAGTGACCAGACTTTTTTTTTTTTTTTTTTTAATGCAAGTTGCCTTCTCAGTTCCTGGTGCGTGATGCAAAGGGGAACGAGCGTACCGTTCTATTGGACGAGACGCGTGAGTCCCCAGTGAATCTTTTGAGTGCAAACAAATTCTGCAAATCAGTGCGCAGGCACAAGGAAGCTGAGCATGTGCATGTAGCTCTTGTAAAGCCTCTCCATGTGCCTTTTACTTTTGCTGCATTTTCTACCTCGGAAAGTAATTCTACTTCTACTATCTCTACTTCTATTCCATCTACTTCTACTATAAAGAATCAGTCTACTTCTGATCCAAGTACTTCGAATTCGGTTGTAATTGCTGTAAATTCTCAATCTGATTTTCTCTCTCCTGATGAGGATGATCCTCCACCGGAAGTCCCAACAAACATTCGTCGTCTATTAGATTGATTTCCTGAAGTTGGGGCTGAACCTCGTGGAGTTCCCGAGCGTCCGATCAAACACAAGATGGAGATAATAAAAGGGAGTGTTCGTTCCTCCAAAGGGCTGCATCTACCGTACGGGACAAGGCGAGTTGGAGGAGTTGAGGAGACAAATTGATGACATGATTGATCGTGGATGGATTAGGCCTAGTGAGTTTAAGTCTTGTGCACCTGTCCTGTTTGTGCCGAAGAAAGGAGGCAAACTCCGGATGTGTATTGACTATCGTGGGCTAAACCGTATCACCGAAAGAACGCTTAAACCTTGCCTCGTATAGATGATCTGCTAGATGCTGTAGGTGGGTGCAAGGTCTTCTCCAAGATCGACCTCAAGTCTGGCTACCACCAGATTGAAGTTGATCCGAGCGACCAGCACAAAACTGCATTCCAAACATGCGATGGGCTGAACAAATTCATCGTTATGCCCTTCGATCTTACGAATGCACCAGCCACATTTCAGTGCCTCATGGACAAGGTTCTCCGCCATCAGCTCAACAGGTTTGTGGTTGTTTACCTTGACGACATCCTGATTTTCAGCAAGTCCATGGAAGAGCACGTCAAGCACCTTGAGGAGGTTTTGCAAGTCCTCAAGGAGGCACAACTGCACCTCAACTTAGAGAAATCTAAGTTTGGAAGGAACAACGTCATCTATCTTGGGCACCGGTTGTTTGCAAACGGCCTTGAGCCGGAGGCAACCAAGGTTGACGTCATACGAAAGTGGCCTCAACCGGGGAACGTACGCGAACTGCGTTCTTTTCTTGGTTCGGCCTCATATTACCGAAAGTTTGTGCCCAAATTTTCTGTCATTGCTCACCCACTCTCAAGGCTAACAAGCGAAAATGTTGCCTATGCGCGGTGTGAGAAATGCGAGCTGAGTTCCAAGCCTTGAAAGAGGCTTTGGTAAGTCATCCTGTGCTCCGCATTGCGGATCCCAGCCTCACGTTCGTGGTCACTACGGACGCGAGCCAGTATGGGATTGGTGCAGTGCTGCAACAAGACGATGGCGATGGCCTGCGTCCAGTCGAATATTACAGCAAACACATGCCCAGCCACAAGGTAGCTACCTCCACGTATATGTGTGAGCTCTATGCCTAGCGAGAAACGCTCACACATTGGAAGCACTACCTCTTAGGTCATCACTTCAAGGTCTACTCAACTCATCAGACCTTGCAGTGGATTAAAACGCAAACTGATCTCTCTCCAACGCTGACCCGCTGGTTGCATGACATCGATGTTTTCAGTTTTGAACTGAAGCAAAAGAAAGGTTGTTATAATCATGTTGCTGATGCTTTGTCGCGTCATCCTGAGTTTTTGACTTCCCTTGTGGGCTCGTATGACCTCCGAAGGAAACCTAAGGGTGATCTGGTCGAACACACTGCCAAGGATTCGGACCTTAGCCCCATCCTTGAGCAGCTCAAGGCTGACCCTAACAGTCAGCCTGATTTCATGAATGTGAGGGTCTTGTATTCCGCCGGTATGGGAAGTTTGATCGTTTGTGTGTACCCAACCATGCGCCTCTCCGGACTCATTTCTTGGATTTAGCACATGGTCGGAGTGGACACTTCGGCTTTGAGAAGACTTATGGAAGTCTTTTGCAGCAGTTTGATTGGCTGGGAATGAAGGGATCAACTCATAAGTTTATTACTGAATATCAAGTCTGTCAAAGGACCAAGGTTCATAGGCATAAGCCTTGTGGCCTGCCGAACCCCCTCCCCATTCCTGATGGACCCGGTGAGTCGATTTCCATCGACTTCACGGACATGGGAAAGGTGAGTGAAGGGGGGAATTCACAAGTCATGGTCATCGTGGATCGTTTTTCCAAATTGCTGAATTTGATTCCTTTCCCTTCCCATGCCCCAACCGAGCTTGTGATCGAAGGATTTCATCAGCAGTACATTTTGCAGTTTGGCCACCCGAAAACTACTGTGAGTGATCGGGACACCAGATTCATTAGTAAAGATTGGAAGGACTTCACTTCTCAGATCTACGACATTAAACTCGACAAGACTTTTCGTCGACACCCCGAAGCCAATGGATTGGCAGAGGAAATCAACCAGACTGTCATTCAACTACTTCGCACGATAATTGTTTCAGAACACGTGGGACAAGGAGTTGCACAAAGTGAAGGGGTTGTACAACAACTTCATTCACTCCGCAACTGGCATGACACCGAATCGGCTGCAATACGGATGGCAGTTGCACAATCCTCTCCTATCTGTTCCCCAAACGGTCACCTGGTCTGACGCCCGGCATGCCTTGCTACAATGCCAAGTATGCACGCTTGCTCAAAGCTGCTATCGCAGCAATGAACAAGCGCCAGCATGCCATGATTAAACTTGTTAAGAAGGGAAATTTAAAGTAGGAAGTTATGTCTGGGTCGAAATGTCCGAGTTTTCTAACGAAGAGGGAATATCACGAAAGCTTATTCCACAGTACTATGGCCCTTGGCAGGTTCTAAAGGTGGTAATATGATTTTGGTCCTTCGTATGTGATTGGCGTGCCTCCTCATCTGCACACATATCCTCTCTTTCACGCGTTCAAACTGTTTCCACACATCGATGATGAGACTTTTCCCTTCCGAGATCCTATGATACCTCATCCTATCAACAGGGGCCATGAGATGGACAGAATTGTTTCCCATGAAGGAAGAGGGAGGAACCAACAGTACAAGGTTCACTTCCTCTATCACCCGTTGAACGAGTTCTTCTGGATCAACCGAAAAGAGCTGCTAAAGAATGCTCCCCGTGTTGTTAACGCTTATGAATGACAATCGCTATGGACAGACTGCTAAGTTTTCTGCAAAACTCACTCCTCACGGTTATACTAAATCTCTCTTTCTGATCTACGCCTACGACGCATTTTGTGCCGACTCTGAATGAGTTACTTGCTCGGAGGGACCTCACTCTTGAGAGGGGGGTAGTGTAATGACCCGCCAAAACACAAACTGAGAACACTGCTGATTTCTGGGATTTGCTGCTGGAATGAATGCCATGCTGAGATTCCCGCATTCTGTTGTGGTTTCCAAGTCTGTGTGTGTGTGCGTGCCTGCTGGTTTGCGTGCCTGTATGAGTGCTTGTCGGCTGAGTGTGTGCATGACCCGCAAGGGTACTTGTTGGTTGAAAGACCCCGCAGGGCCGATACTTACCTGTCGTCGTGACTTGAGGGTTGCAGCGGAGAAAACACTCAAGTAGCGGAGGTAAGCCAACGACACTTAGAGCAGCGGGGAAAAACACTCAAGTAGCAGGTAGGCCGGTACCACTCAAGTGGTGGTAGAAGTGTCGGGTACTGGAGGCCGAGTAGCGGTAGGTTAGGCCGTTACCAGTCCAAGTAGCCTGAGTCTAGGGCCTGTCCGGACGATAGCAGAGCCTGCAATGATGTTTCCCTCCGAAAGGGAGGAGGTACCGGTTGCTGGGAGGCCGCTCAGCCTAGGAAGCCACCGCCCAAGAGGCCAGTAGGCCTCTATATCTTCCGGAGGAGCAAGCAGCTCCTCATTAGCGGTATGCAAGGATTGGCGACATGCTGCTGGAGCCAAGCGCTGGACTTGGGCAGCGCTGCCTGGAGGTGACGAGCAGCTGGGCGCTCAGCCTGGCTATGGCAAGCAGCCCAGCCTGAGGATGAGGAGAGTGGTGAGGTACCTACCTGGCTATGGTGGACCCCGTCTTCATCACCTTATTGGGCGCCATCTGGAAGGCCCCAGTTGGGGTAATGCCGCACCAAGGAATCTCGAGGCAGAGTCGGGCATGGCGGCTTAGTCAGCAGCGGCATAGCTGCTTTGGGTTGTCCTTTGGACAGGAGTGCAGCAACATAGCTGCTTTGCGTTGTCGTTTGCCCATGAGGGCAGGGCCCTCAGTAGTCCGGCATAGCCTAGGCATGTGAGAGGTGGAAGAAGGGGGGGAAGCCATAGCTATGGTGGACCTATTGTGATGTCAGCAGTNGGAAGAAGGGGGGGAAGCCATAGCTATGGTGGACCTATTGTGATGTCAGCAGTAAGAGGGAACTTTGGACATTGATTCTGGTTCATCCACTCGTTATTATTATTATTGGAAGAAGAATAAGATTGGCGAAGTGGAGGAGGAGGAAGATGGAGAGAGAAGGGGGATTTGTCATTGGTCTTGCTGGTGTGCATCTTCTTCTTCTTCTCCTCCTTCTCCTTCTTCTTCTTTCTCTCTTTTTTGGTCTCTATCTCTTTGCAAGTGCTTTCATTTCTTTCGCAATTGGGTGGCATTGTCGTTCATTGTGAGTTTGCACTTTGGGAATCACCAGGATCATAACATTTTTTATTTTTTTTTAATCGCACACTACCTACCCCGAGCTATGTACTTGGGCTTTTTAGGGTCATAGACGTTCACCACATTGTTGCAGTGGTGTGGTTGCAAACATCTAGCACAGCAGTGCACAGATCATTAATAAAGTGTGAGTTGTTATTAACACATTACAAAGTTGATGATTTCCACCAAGAATTTGATTTCATGGCTGCGCTAATTCCATGCAAATCAGTACAGAGAAGCATGTGCCCATTACTCCAGCAATTTAATTCCATGCGAATCAGTACAGAGAAGCATGTGCCCATTACTCCAGCAATTGCACCAAAGTTTAGATATAAAGTACCTATATCCTTGTGGTTTGTGGAAAACAGCCATCTCTGTGCAAACGGAAGGAAGCCTAAGAGCTACCAACAGACCAACCTTAAATCTACAACCTAGCCCTAAGCTACCCTTAAATCTATTAACCAAAGCTAAGCTATCCTGAGATTATGGGTCCACAGCTACCTAACTCTGCTCTGTGCGGGGAGCAGCACCCAAGCTCCTAACACCTGGCGCGGGCTGGAAAGTCAAAGTGCAACCACAACCAGCCAGGAGGAACAAGCTGACTTTCTCAGCCGGTGAACCCGAAGCACGCCACAGAGGGTCGCGGGGAACTGAATGGATGACATGATAGGGAATCGAACCCACGACCTCCTGTGTATCACTTGTGTGCTCAACCCACTGAGCTTCACCCACGGCTTCCTTCCTCTACACGAAGATCACCACCACCCGCGTTTTAAACTTCACATCTTTTTTGGCAGCCCTGGAGTTTCGATTTGTTTGGTATGGATCTACATGAATCTATTTGCTCCATCCAATCATGTTTTCGTGTTTTTGTGCAACTTTGGCCGCTTCGAGTGACTTTATTTCCTTTTCTCTTCACACAGTTGCTGAGAGTATTGTGTTTGCAAGTTTTGTTCATCTTATTACATTGTGCGCTTTCTCCATGCATCCCTGGATTATCAGACTGCTTGATTGCAGTGACCAGACTCTTTACATGCTTCGCATGACTTTACTTCTTTTTCTCTTCACGCATTGTATTTATCCATACCTACCAAGCAAACAAATCATCGACCAATTCTTTTGTACCCATATAAGCACAAGAGACTTCAGATCAAGACAACCATATCGCTGAGTCCAACCCAAGTTCAGCAAGCCCAGATTCGACAGAAAACAGGGATTTCCCAAAATGACAATGGAGATCATGGTGATGTAAGACACAGACTTCCGCATGCAGGATTTTGTAAAATAGCACCTCATAAGAGACAACCCACCAATCCACTTACCTCCAATTCATCAAGATCCAACTCCTTGTCCAGCACAGGTCGAGAGCTCGCAATCAGGCCCGCTTTGTTGATCTGATCCTTGAAGAACCGAAGTTTTCTTGACATCTCACCACATCGTTTAACCTGAAAAGTCGATCACGGCCATTACACAAATGGTTTCAGCACCCTCCTGATTCTATTTCGCAAATTCATGATTAACGGCCAAAAGCATACATCGCAACGCAACATTGCATCAAAGAATCGAGTCTCAAAATGAGAAAGAGGAATGAGAACAGAAGAAGAAAGAGAGAAAGAGAGAAAGAGAAAAAAAGAAAGAGAGAGAGCGAGAGAGAGAGAAAGACAGAAACAGAAAGAGAGAAAGAGAGAAACAGAAAGAGAGAACGAGAGGCATTGGTCGGTGCTAATCACAGCGTTTCTGCTTTTATTGTTACTTCAAAGAGAGAAAAAGAGCGAACGAGAGAGAAAGAGAGAAACAGAAAGAGAGAGAACGAGAGAGAACGAGAGAGAATGAGAGGCACTGGTCTGTGCTAATTACAACGTTTCTGCTTTTATTGTTACTTCCAGTATTAGCAGGTGCCATTACTATGCTATTACCTGATAAAAAGTTTAATACCACTTCTTTTTATCCTGCAGGAGGAGGAGATCCTGCTTTATTTCCACATCTGTTTTGGCTCTTTGGTCGGGATGGCCACCTTAGAGAGTGATTTCTGAAGAAAAATGTTGCCATTTGCTGGAACAACTACACGCTTATTTGTACTTGGTTTTTAAGTGCTTGCTCCGAACCAGTAAGAAAGACAGAGAGAGAGAGAGAGAGAGAGAAAGAGAGAAAGAGAGAAAGAGAGAGAGAGAGAGAGAAAGAGAGTTACCACCTAGATCCTTCTGAGATGCTGCTTTGCTCAGACAGATCCTGCAATTAGTCAGCTGGCATAATGTCCGCTAAGACGAAGAGAGAAGCCACGGGGCTCCAATCAATGCACTCATCAATAGTTCAACTTACTCCTCTGACCTAGTGGAGTTTCCCACCTTCGCTACGCCTCCCCCAAGCCTGCAAATCCGGCCACATTCATCCTGTACCTGTTCGCTAAGCCTCTGTGATTCCCCTTTGGTATGAGACAAACCCAACCCCAAATCTGACAAGAGTGCAGACTTCAGGAGCTTACTCCGCATCCGCTAAAAATCGCTACTGGGCGCTAAACCTTTTATCTTCTTTTCTTTGTTCACGTTTCAGCTTTATATATCCATACTTATCCAACCTTACAGATTTCGCATGCAAGACCTTACCTCTCTGCTCTCCTAGCACTAAATGAAGGTCGTGTAACCCACCCGAAGTTCCCTTCCTTTTGCAGATAAGTCCCTCCTGGCCGCAAAACGTTTTACCTTACGTCCCCATAATTCCCAACCTTCCACGTTTACGTCCCCATAATTTCCTCAGCCTAGAGTTTTCCCATTGGAGACTTCACATTTCTGCCCTCCTGCCTCCTGCCATAAAATTGCAGTCGTGTTAAACCCCAGTAAATCACCAGGCTCGTTAGAGGAGCGCGCAAAACGTCTTTACTGAGGTATCCCTCAAGCCTAGAGTTTTCCCATGGAGATTTCACATTTCTGCCCTCCTGCCTCCTGGCATAAAATTGCAGTCGTGTTAAACCCCATATAACCCCATATAAAAGTATCCCTCAAGCCTAAAGTTTTCCCATAGGAGACTTCACATTTCTGCCCTCCTGTCTCCTGGCATAAAATTGCAATCGTGTTAAACCCTTAGTAAATCACCAGGCTCGCTAGAGGAGCGCTCCACCAGACAAAGAGTGTGTAGGAGCATCCAATTAAGAAGGTGACCAAATAAAATGGACATCCATTAACAATCTCCACCGGACAAGGAGTGTGGAGGAGCATCCAATCTAAGCAGAGAGAAAAGACGAGAGAGCGAGCGAGAGAGGGCCGAGGAGAGGGAGAGAGGGAGAGCAAGAGAGCGAGAGAGGGAGAGAGGGAGAGAGGGAGAGAGGGAGACAGAGATGGAGAGGTAACCGGGGAGAGGGAGTGGGAGAGAAAGAGGGAGAGAAAGACGGAGAGAAAGACGGAGAGAAAGAGGGAGGGAAAGAGAGAGAGAAAGAGAGAGGGAAAGAGAGAGAGAAAAAGAGAGAGAAAGACACTCCGAGAAAAAACATGAGCACAAAAAGCTGAAATGGAGAGAACTAAGCGGCAGCGATCAACATGTGCACAGAGGGGGGAAGAGTGCAAAACAGAGAAACACGGAAGCACATTGTGACAGAGAGACATACAAACAGAGAAGCAGAGACAAATAAAATTAGAGATAGACACCCCCCCCTTCCCCCACCCCCCGCCCCAAAAAAAAGCCAAGACCACAAAACAGAGATAGCAAGAGGGAGCGAGAAAGTGAGCAAGAAAGCAAAGAAACGAGATGCTAAACGGATGACCAACCTGATTGGCATATGTTCGTTGAAAGAGACTTTGGTCTTTGTTCAACTGCACAATTCCCACAAAGATACAGAGAGGAACAGAGAGAGACAGACAGGGTCAGCTACATCACACAAGCTCAAAATCACCAATTCCTCCTACATACACATGGTGGCATTACTACCATCTTCACCCGAATACAACGCACATTCACTATCTCTGCATCTAAACTCAAAGTTGCCCCAAATACAGCAATAATGACCGTGGGATATATGCCTGTGACTGTCGAAGGTGTCAACTTCCATCCATTCTATTCATTATATTATATTATAATAATTAAACTATATTATATTATAATAATTATATTACATTATACTATATTATATTATATTATATTATACTATATCTCAACATAGCAGCCCAAAACTTTGACTGCAAAATGAGTCAATCAACACCCCCGCTCCATCCATAGCCCTTATAAGCAATTAACCCCTTAACCAGAGTTACGGAGCCTTCACCTGGTCGCATTATGATTAGGTGATGCCTACCAGGCATTTCATTCGCTAAGTAGGTAGCTGGTTGGCCCGCATAGCAATTACTTGCTTATGTGGCATTACTATGAATCAGCATTTCAGTCACAAAAAAAATAAGAGCCCATTACCACGAAGCAGCATTCCAGGGGCACAGAAAGAAATGGAACTAATTTACCCCTTTGGCTACGTTACCAGAGTGGCCCGGGACCATTTTCAATTTGGCAAAGAGATTCGATGTGACCCTGAGGTCAAAGTTGTCCAGTTTATTCTTCTCCACGTAAAAAATATATATATCGTCACAAACAGAACTGCCCGGTAAAACCGTAGGCAGAGAGAGAGAAGAGGACAACAAACGAGGGGCTGTGACAAACTGTTTCGTCGGAGTTTCACCGACTCATCAGGAGGCTATATATATATTATAATATATACATTTTTTTTTTTCATTTTTTTTGCTTGGCAAAAAATTTCGATGCGACCCTGAGGACTACCATATCCAAGGAAGGCAGCTGGGACCTAAATTACCCACTCCTGACATAGGGAGCATGGCCCCTGCGCAAGGATGACACGCATAAACCGAAAATCCTAAATTAAAAATAAAAATTAAAAAAGACAGTACATAACAAAAAGTTGTCCAGTTATTTTTCTGCCGAACATAGTTGTTTTTACAGTTCACTGGCCTTGCCCGGCCGGGTCGCCCGGGCAACAAAGCTGACCCGGACGGCCCGGTTAGTAACGCATTGTAACTAACCCAGCCCATTACCATGAAGCATCATTCCAGCTATAGAAAAGGATAACGAACTACGCTCATGAGGCTGAATGGTACCACACAGATCACGACCTCGAATCCCGACGCCATGTCAGATGGATACCTCAATTAGTTCAGGGTCAATCCCTCCCGATCCCCCCCACAGCCCCTCTTCATCTTTATTTGTCTCCTCTCCATACTATTCTCCCTACTCTTCTCCCCCCTCTTCTTCCCCCTCTTCTCCCTCCACTTTGTCTCTCTAGCAACTCCATCTCTCTTCTTACTACTGGTGAAGTCGCCGCTGACGTGGCCAGCAACAACTTTCAATTACTTCTCCCTGCAGCCACCTCCTCGTCCCATTAAAGAGGAGACAATACAAGGGCTCGTTCAAACCGTGCCAATAATGCCCACCATACCATATAAGCTCCCTTCACTACAGCAGGACTACCAGACACGAGTAGAGTCGGCAATTCTTCATAACACGATAGCGCCCTACCGTCATGACTACCATCCTCGTTACTATCACCAAGGTAATCTCCCTCTACCCCTCCTCCTCCTCCTCCTCCTCCTCCACCATTCTTCTTCTCATCATTACCATCATTCAGAATCCCCATGATCCCGCCCACTGACAAAACCCACGTGCATACCCTCCCTGCCGCGTCAGCTTATCCGTTCATGTTAACAGCATAATCATTATCTGAATCATTACCAGTAGCAACGCGAAGAGTACATCCTCCCTTCGCCTTCTTCCTCCCTCCTCCTCCCTCCTCCCCCAACTACTACGGACCATGTTCACCATAATTGCCATAACTATTACACAACACCACTGACAAGACATGCTTATATGCTGGCGTTCTGCACAGATCGACCTCCTGCTCCTCCCTCCTCTCTTCTCCTCCTCTCTTCTCCTCCTCCTCCTCTCTTCTCCTCCTCTCTCTTTCTGCTCCTCTCTTCTGCTCCCTCCTCCCTCCTACCTCTCAACACTACCACTATCATTGCCATATAACTACACTACAGCACTGAAGATGTGCTGCCATGCTAGCGACACGTGGACGGATCTCCCTCCTCATCCTTTATAACCTATTCTCACCCCTCCTCCCACCCCTCCTCCCTCCCTCCTCACCTCCTCTATTACTCCCCAGTATCGCCATCATTGCCGTTATACTTCCTCAACACTCAAGACATGCAGACATGCTCGAGACACGTGGACGGATCTATCTCCCCTCCCTCCCTCTCTTCTCCTACCTCCTCATCCCTCCTCTTCTCCTACCTCCTCATCCCTCCTCTTCTCCTACGTCCTCATCCCTCCTCCCTTCTCCTACCTCCTCACCCCTCCTCTTCTCCTACCTCCTCATCCCTCCTCTTCTCCTACCTCCTCATCCCTCCTCTTCTCCAACCTCCTCATCCCTCCTCTTCTCCTACCTCCTCATCCCTCCTCTTCTCCTGCCTCCTCCTCCTCCCTTCTCCTCCTCCTCCCTCCTCTCTCCCCCATCCTCATCCCTCTTCCCCTACCTACCCTAATCGCCGTCATTGTCATAACCAACACACTACAGCAACCCCGACATGCTGACATGTTTGCGACACCTCGACGGATGTAACCCCTCCCTCCTCTCTTCTCCTCCCTCCTCCCTCTTCCTCCCTCCTCCCTCTTCCTCCCTCCTCCCTCCTCTCCTTCTAAGCCTTATGGCCATAATTGCCATTACCATCATACTAGATCACTTAAAGACATGCTGACATTTTTGTGACACGTTGACGGATCTGACAGCCAACAGTCCCGACAACAGTCGCCACAACAGTTATCTTCACAATTTACTCTTCGATAACGACGAGTTGACATCAACATCAATCCGACACTCCAACACAAACCTGAATAGAGAGAGAGAGAGACAGACAGACAGACAGACAGACAGACAGACAGACAGAAAGACAGAGAGACAGACAGAGAGAGAGACAGAGAATCCCCCTCCTTTCGTGCTTTGCGGACCAGAAAGGAACACAAAATTACATTGTGGCGAAATTGAAACACAACATTTCGGTGTAGCTCTACCTTCTTCACCCAAACACAACGTACGGTCATTATTGCTGTATTTAGACGGAAAGATACCCCTGACCGTACGTTGTATTCGGGGGAAGAAGGTAGTCCTTAGGGTTCGAAACATAGTTCGAAAAGGTCAAAGGTCAACCTCGACTTGTGTTCAGCTTTTTTTTTTTTTTTTTTTTCAAAAGCTGTGTTCAGCTTTTCGATTAATTGTAATAAATAAAATTTGCTACAAGAAAAAAAAAAAGACAGCGCTCGAAAGCAAAAAAGTAACAGCGGGTTTACTTTAGAACTTCCAAGGTCGATAACCCAAAACCGATTTGGAAAGGACAATATAAAAAAGAGAAAAACTAATCAGATTAAAAAAAAAAAAAAAAAAAAAAAAAACTAATCAGATTTAGGTCATAGGGCCTCGCTGCACCCCTCACCAAAAGCACAAAACACAAATTACGGCGGTGTATCTTGCGATGTTCTAGCAGAAGATTCATTATCATTTTGCACATTTGGTGAGTGGTGCAGTGAGGCCACAAACTGGAAAATTCACTTTGCCGAGCCGACAAAACGAGAATTTCTCACCCGACAACATAACTGTACTTTTTCCCCATACGTGACAGCAAAGGAAGCAGAGGAACATTGGACAAAAGAAAGAGCCACAGCTATACGC